ATGAGTGAAGTTTAGACCAAAAAGTTCTACTTTGGTCTCATCTGACCACATGACTTTCACCGATGCCTCCTCTGGATCATCCAGATGGTCTTTGGCAAATTTCAGATGGGCCTGGACATGTGATGACTTGAGCAGGGGAACCTTCTGTGCAATGCATGATTTGAAACCATGACGGCGTAGTGTTCTACCTACAGTGACCTTTGAAACTGTGGTCCCAGCTCTCTTCATGTCATTGACCAGCTCCTCCCTTGTAGTTCTGGGCTGATTCCTCACCTTTCTTATCATCAGTGATACCCCACGAGGTGAGATCTTGCATGGCGCCCCAGTCCGAGGGAGATTGACAGTCGTCTTTAGCCTCTTCCATTTTCTAACAATTGCTCCAACAGTTGATCTGTTTTCACCAAGCTGCTTGGCAATTGCCCCGTAGCCCTTTCCAGCCTTGTGGAGGTCCACAATTTTGTCTCTGGTGTCTTTTGACAGCTCTTTGGTCTTGCCCATGGTAGTAGTTGGCGTCTGACTGACTGTGGGGTGGACAGGTGTCTTTAAAGAGCTCAGACAGGTGCTACTAATTTAGATTAATGAGTGGAGTAGAGGTGGACTTTTTCAAGGCACAGTAACAGGTCTTTGAGAGCCAGAATTCTTGCTGTTTCTCAGGTGTTCAAATACTTATGTTCAGCAGTGCAAGACAAATAAATTCTTTAAAAATCATACAATGTGATTTCCTGAAATTTTTTTTTATTCTGTCTCTCAGAGTGGGAATGCACCTACAATGTGAATTTCAGACCCCTCCATGATTTCTAAGTGGGAGAACTTGCAAAATCACAGGGTGTTCAAATACTTCTGTTCCTCACTGTATAGGTATTTACCTCATTGCGGGATTAATTATGGGAGGAATATTCTTCTTTGATCTCTTGAATCTTGTCTTGTTCTTAGGTATTTGATTTGTTCTCAGGAATTAATTGCGGGAGAATCATCCTTGTTCTTGATTGTCTCTCAAATACTATATTCTGTTTGGTTTTAGGTACTTTAGAATTAATTTCTCAAGATATGTGTGTGGTGTTGGTTCTTATGGTGTATTGTTGCTGCTCTCTGTTGCTGCTGGAACACAGGAATTTCCCCATTGTGGGACCAATAAAGTCCTACCTACCTACCATAAATAAACTTGCTTTGCTTCTGTGGTCTCTACAGGTTTAAAGGCCTCACACTTCATCAGGCTCACAAACTCATTCTGGAGCAGTGTCCGTTCATTCAACCCAACGAGGCAGCTGATGGACTATGAGAGAACTCTGTTCCGCAGGAACTCGGTGAGGATGGTGAGGACACCCAGAGGAGTCCTGCCTGAAGCTCTGCAGGACTTGGAGGACCCCGAGGACTCGTAATGTGTCAGCTTCGAATGGACAAGCTGATCTGACAGGGAATCACTTCCTGCTCTGAGACATTAAAGCTGCTCACGTTAAGATTCTCCTGAAAACCTGAAGTCACCCATTTCATTTTCAGCAAAACATACAGACTTGACTTGGAAAGATAAAAAACAGGGAGAATGGGAATTGAACCACAGACCTTCTGGTTAGGGAATGACTGCGCCAGCTCCTGAGGTTGCTCACTGATCTTGATCCATGAAGCCAGCCTTTAAAAGCAAATTTAATTCTTAAATAAGATGTCCGCTGCTTGTTTACTGAAAAATGTTTAATGATGTGGAGGAGAACCTGAGATGTGGACATTTGTAGGGACCTAAATGTAAAAATACAGTTTGACAGGTGAAAATAAAATTACAAGCATGACAGAAAAATGCGTGAACCTGATAATTCCAATGAAATACTGTGAAAGTCTGTCATTACTCCTGTCATACACTCAAAGCTGCATGAGAAGCCCCCCATTTATTGTCATCATTTTTTAATTGAGGTGTGTTGGGTCCAAAAATGTGCAATGCCGTTTCCTTTTGTGAGGCTTTTGTTTTGGCAATGCCACCAGATGTTTTACGCCGACTTGTTTTAGTCCCACATCAGGAGTGAACCGGTGCCGTTTGCTGTCCAACATTTCTTATCCTCGGCATCAGGTCACAACCAGCTACAGTGTAAAAGAAGAAAATGAAGTTCTGTTTTATTAACATTTGTAATTCAGCTGTATTCAGTAAAGCCCCCAGCAGGCTTATTGTCTTCTTTCTAGACTTTGTAGGAAAATGAACTGGTGATAAACAATTCATCATCAATAGTTTTATTCAAATTCTGTGGCAGATACATTTTCAAAACCACTAATGAGCGGCTTTGGACGTCAAACCGAATAGCAGACTTAAATGCATAAATTCTGCTGTCGATTGATCTGCTGAAGGCAATTGATGATCTGTCCGTGTTTGTAGCGTCGGGTTCACGGGTTTAAGATTGCACTACCAACATAAGACTAGAGCTGGGAGACAGTGGAGCTGTCTTTCCAAAAAAACAAAGATCTGATCCATCAACACTGATGAACATTGACCAGTGAATAAAAAGTGGCAAAAGTACAAAACAAAAGCCAGAAACAATGGCTGTGTAAAAAAACAGACACGTCCTTCTATTGTGACAGGATCAACGATCAGCCGGACATATGGAGATTGACTCAACTCAGTTTCAAATGAAAACCTGCTGGTGAACACGAGACCATCAGGATCCACATCAGTTCAGTCCTGACAAAGAACACTGTGGAAAGGAGAGCAGGATCTGAACAGGACCGAGACTCCAGCAGGAGCACCACTTGGTAGTCCTGGTCCTGGGCTCAGTACTGGAAGCTTCTCTTGGTCTGGATGTCGTCTAGGATCTGCTGCAGCTCCTCGTCTTCAAACCGGCCCTCCAGACTGAAACACACACAACAGATAAATCCATGAAGAAGAAGTTAGTCTTTGACTGGTGATACAGCATCACTAGACATGTACTGTCAATGATCATTAGTGTCAGTCTTCTATTGATTGTTTTGTCCATAAAATGTCAGAAAACAGGAAAAAACGTCCAGTTCAACAGGTGATGTCCTTTTTAAAACCCAGACACATTCCGTTTTCTGTCACAGACTAATATTTTGGCAGCCTAAAAACAAAAACCAAGACCGATCAATTAATGGACTAACTGTTGCATCACACGCTCAATTATTTCTGTTCAAAGCCGTGCATTTTATGGGCCTTGTTTTCACACTAACTCTCTCCTACTAGCAGAACTGATGCGCTGCCCTCAGCGCTGTTCGAGCTTCTAACTTCTCAGAAGTCTGACCACCATGATCCTGCCTGCAGTCCCAGCGCTCTCAGCTAGGAGCAGATCGACCAGGTAACCCCAAGAACCGGGAGCCTGAAAGTGATGTGTGAGCTGGTGGTGTCCCATCACCACCAAGTTTCACATCAATTAGAAAACGAGAAGCTCGTGTTTAGGCCACAGCGTTGCTGTTGGTTCTATTATTGCTACATCATCATCATCAACTTTATTTATATAGCACATTTATCCCAGCCATAGCTGCCCAAAGTGCTTAACACAGTTACACATCACAACCGTATTAAAATCAAAACACATAGAAACAACACAATAAAATACACCGGCAATAACATAATAACAATAAACAAAACAAATTACCAACATCCCCTTACAACAACCCCCAAATACAGCATTAAAACAAGGTACCCCAACATGACACCGCCTCATACTGGCTCAAACGCCCAAGGGTAAAAGTGGATTTCCAAATGCCTGGTGATAAAAATAAGTTTTTAAATAAACTTTAAAAGTGTCCATTGACGAGGTCTGCCCAACGTGGAGAGGCAACGCATTCCACAGTTTAGGGGCCCCCGCCGCAAACGCTCTGTCCCCCCTAAGTCTTCGCCTTGTTTGTGGAACCTCCAAGAGCAGCTGATCAGCTGATCTGAGGTGCCGCAAAGGACAATAGGGGTGCAGTATTTCTGACACGTAAGGTGGTGCCAGTCCGTTCACAGCCTTATATACAAATAAAAGAATCTTAAAATGAATTCTAAGATGCACTGGTAACCAGTGCAGAGAAGCCAAAACGGGCGTTATATGCTCCCTTTTTCTCCCACCAACCAGCAGTCGAGCAGCCGCATTCTGAATCTTCTGTAGGCGATCGAGAGACCTCTGATTAACCCCAAAATAAAGCGAGTTACAGTAATCTAAGCAAGATGTTATAAATGCATGTATTGCTGTCTCAAAGTGTTTCCTTGGAAGAAATGGTTTTATTTTTGCCAGCCATCGCAGGTGAAAAAAACTAGCCTTTACCACCGCATTTACTTGGATTTCCAACTTAAGACCTGAGTCAACTTTGACCCCTAGGCTAGTAACAATTGGCTGCACATACTGCATCAAACAGCCCATGTCCATTAGGGGGAGCTCACTAACGTTGCTCAGGCTAAGCACTACCACCTCAGTCTTAGCATCATTTAATCTTAAAAGATTTAGAGACATCCAATTCTTCACCTCACCAAAACAAGACAATAATGGTGTAACCGAGGCTAAGTCCAAACCCCTCAGTGGCAGATACATTAGGTACCCCAGACGCTATCACTGAGGATGAGGATGCAATATCTGCGAGCCCAACAGACATCGTCCTGCCTGACAGATATGACCTAAACCACTCCAGGGCACTGCCCCGGATACCCACTAATTGTTCCAGTCTCGATATCAAAATATCAGGGTCAACCATATCAAAGGCAGCTGTTAAATCCAATAAAACAAGAACCACAAAATTGCCAGCATCAGTTGCCATATAAATATCATTAAAAACCCTCAACAGGGCTGATTGTGTGCTATGCCGGGTTTTAAAACCCAATTGAAAGACTTCCAGCAAGTTCTGCTCATCTAAAAAGGATTTCAAGTGTGTATACACCACCTTTTCTAAAATTTTCGAAATAAAAGACAGCTTAGAAATAGGTCTAAAATTGTTCAAAACAGTTTGATCAAGGCCTGGCTTCTTAATCAGAGGTTGAACAACAGCATGCTTGCAGTGTCTGGGAACCACACCAGAGGATAAACTGCTATTTACAATGGCTAAAACCACCCCT